GGGAAACGTTATAAGACAGGAGGCTATTTATTATCCCACTTTTTAATTCCTGCTACGGCTAACCTTGGGAAACGTTATAAGACAGGAGGCTATTTATTATCCCACTTTTTAATTCCTGCTACGGCTAACCTTGGGAAACGTTATAAGACAGGAGGCTATTTATTATCCCACTTTTTAATTCCTGCTACGGCTTACCTTGGGAAACGTTATAAGACAGGAGGCTATTTATTAGTGAGAGAAAATCACTGCGATTTTATGAAACGTAAATACTGTTTTGTTTTGTAGCTGGCTAAGTTTGAGATAAAGAAATATTTGGACAGTTAATATGTTTAGAACATGTTTATAAACTATAATCCATATTTTTAAACAAATATCTTCACAATCTCTTTATTTTCTTGATCTTCTTAGAGATAATCCTTGGAGTTGACGAAGATACTCGTACTGTAACGTTTTAAACATTCTAACAAGTAAAGAAATCAAACGTTTCCAAGATTTAACTATTTATATTCTGATGGTTGATAAATATGATCATTACTCTCCAGAAACCAGATATCCAATTTGTTTTAATAGATAGCCTAGAAGTAATTTACATTGATGCTGTTTCTAAAATATTAAATGTTTTAAATTCACACTTCAAGAAAATATATTTCCCCACTTAAAAATATCCCAGAGGCTGTTGAATGTCTTTCATTGCCATTTCTCTATTTTTGTGATACTATATACTCTTTCTTTTAAATATATTGTCAAAATATAGTTTTTGTTGTTGAAAATGTACAAATATCCAGATATTTATAGAACAATAATTTATTTTTATTCCTACAAAACTGGCATTACCTTCAAATGTTTTCACAAACTACTAACACCAAGATTAAACGTTGGGTTCGTTTTGCTTCAAAAAGGCAATTTGCACCAGCCGTTCCCAAGTTTGAACTGATAGGTAACAGGGAAGGTAGCTGGTAAACAGTACTCATTCTGTTAACCTGCTCTAATCAAATAGGGAGATTTGACTGTCACTTTCATAACACACTCACAGCCCTAAAGTACAGAACATGTTTTTGCAGCTTTGGGCTACAAACCATAGACCCTCAGATTCAGTCTGGTCTACTGACTATGCTCGGCCCTGAAAGTGAACTAACAACACAAAACGTGTAGAACAAGAAAGTCTGTTAAGGTAAAAGTAACATAAAAAAGTGTCAAATGGTGAGTAAAAACCAGTGTTGTTTGTGCTTTATTCAAGAACACTTAAACTTTGTTAATGACAATATACACACAACACATCAATCTAACTAACGTTTTTGACAACTTTACAAGGTGCTGAGAGGTGTTGTTTAAATAATATACCATAAAAAGTACAAGTTGATCTGAATAACTAATAAACTTCTAATCTTAGACCCATACGAAATATCAAAATATATGAAAAAGAAAAAATACTTTGGTCAAGATGGCCCTCTTTACATACATGTATAAATGGAAACATGAGAGTAAGCTGCTTTACATAATAGGTAACTGATAGCTCTTCCCGTTACATATAGTATTTTTTAATGTTGCTAGGTTTAAATTTTCTTACCTCACAAGCCTCTTATAAGTGAATAAAAATTTGAAATACACAAAACAAATTTGGAGCTGATAATGTAGTTTTTAAATACACTTAAATAACAAACAATAAACAACTTGTATATTTTTTTTGTTTGTAATTTTCATTAAAAACAAATAACATGCTTATACAAAGTCCCCACCAGATTCTTGGGTGTTGACTAAAATCACAGTGTATATATATATATAACATCACATTTATACGCACGTGTCTAAACATACCCCATAACTACAATTTACATGAGACTCTGAAGTTAAACTTGTGGAAAAAACAGAACCTGTACACTTTTTCCTATTAAACCAGATGCAGTCAACCAGGAAGACAATGAAAAAGATTCATCTTGAAAAAATGGGTAACATCACCCGTGCATATTGTTGTAAAGCCCCATCACCACAAAGTCCTCTCAGTATCGATAGCCTGTTACGAGAACAAAACTGAAGTTACTATCTTAAAGGTACTTTAATTAAAAACATCAAATATATCAATATTTGTTAACAATAATAATGTCAAGTGAACAGAAAAGGTGTACATTACAATGTTTCTAGCTAGGAAATTATCAGGTCTTGGTACTTAAAAGGTTTTACTTCTCTTTCATCTGCTGTGTACACAACCACTCCTGTATCAATTCAGGGATCGTTTATTTAAGTAACACTTACTAATAATTCTTACTCACACTTCCCTATAAAGAATGTTATGAAACGTTGTCTTTTTTTTATTGTAGAGTTGATCTAACAATTCTAATTAGGACGTGACAAGAGAAAAAGCGAGCGATAAGAAACGGAGTCTAACAAGGATGTTACTCACAACCGATATCCTCACAAGTCTGTAGTCGTCACGGCTTCCTCCTCTAGTTGTTTCTGAAGCAGAGCCATTTCCTGCTTCAGAGCATTTAGGCACGTTTGAAGATTGCTTAGAGGTCTAGAAAAGAAATCACCGTTTTATTCAAACTTCCCTTGTTATAATTACATTAAATTATTCTTTAGTAAACAACATAACGTTTAATGTAGTAATATAATGTTTAATAGTTACACCTCGCACCCACAATAAACAATACAAATGGTTAAAATTAATCACGTAACACAAACTTTCTCAAATAACGTAATACTGAGCCACTCTTTACCAATGTTGTATTTTTAGTTAAAGAGTCATAAGACATAGAAGATAAAATAAAACCTACTTGCTCACTGGAAGAACAGCACTCTGCTGCAGTAATACAGTAATGAAAGTGTCATCGTACGGCGGAGGAGATACAGGAGGTGGAATGTTCAGTCTATTAACGTTCTTGGAGTGACCATTTTCTCGAGGCCTGGTTTTGCTAACCAGCTGGGTTTGTAATTCCTAAATAAGAGACTTCATTAATTTACTCCCACATAATTATTACATCATTATCCAACATTTATAAATACGCAATAAGAACTCTAGGTATGATTTTGATAGCTATTCAAACATCTTAAAGTACAACAATGTACAAGACGTTCATGTTTACAATGCAACTTATGTAAGTAACTAAATTATATTTATTCATGACAATTAGAATGTTTGAAAAATTCACACACATTTAATGCAAGAATTCCTCAGCACAGAAAACAACATCGTTCATCTCAAAGGAAAAGTCAGGAAACTGTCGTTATAAGAAACTATATAAAGTTTACTTACTTTGTTTCTATCCAAACTGGATTTGAGAGCATTCCTAAGCTCCGTAACTTTGGTCTGATATCCAAACTTCTCTTTCCGAGTGTTAGCAAGTTCTGTCTTCAAGACATTCAGTTCCTTCTCTGTGATCTTGAAACAATTCAAAGTCTGAGTGTTAATTAAAAGATGCAGCAAAAAAAAAACAACATAAAATTTTTAAAAATATTTTGAAACTTACTGACCTTGTAGTCTTGCATTTATCGATCATTACAAACATCAGTTAACAAACACGCAGTTCCCCCAAATCCCAACCACAACGAATGTAATGAAAGATTATCCTTCAAAACAAAAGAATATCACATAAAGTAACTTAGAATAAATGAAAACCAATGATAATATAATAATACTTAATAGGTTTCAAAAAAACAACTGAAAAATACTATGGTTATTTATGGGTGTCTATGGGTTAGTCTATTAAAAAAGATGTGTTTTTGTTTTATTTGTTGTTTAGGCAGAGTATACACTAACTACACCATATAAACACTGACCTAAAGGTGAAAGGAGGGAGTTTTTGGAAACGTCGTCCTCTGTACTTGTGTTTCT